GGCTTGGCAAGATGTAAGGTGCTACAGTAGCTCATCACCAAGATAGAGGCCATCAGGCCACCTCATCCCATACCACTTGTGCAGCAGCCATTTTCTCACTGAGAGGTAAAGTCTTTCTGTATTTCCTTGACGTGGGGCAGACCTGTGTCTTCTCAGACCAGGAGAATGCAGCAGAAGGAACCCTGCATAATTTCCTAAGCTAATTCGTAAGAATTCTTGCTGCTTGGGCCTTGCTGAGGTCTCTGGTAACCTCTTCCGGGGCTACCTGTAAGAAGTTGCACTACTGCCCTGAAGCTGCTATGAAATGAGGAATCTCAGGCTAGGAACGTGGAAAGACCATGTGAAGACACATGACCAACCTATCCTCATCTATTCCAGCCATTGCAAATAAGGCACCAGATATATAACGAGAAACCTCTACTGACAGCTACAGTCTGTAGAAGAAGCAAAAATGAGAAGGATTGATGGCATCTGAGTAAATTACAGTCCGGGAAGAACATTCAGGAACATATACGAATGACTAATACTAGTCATTAGTTCTCTATTTACAAAACAGAGGTCCCTTTACATATGTACAAAGTGCTAAGGAGATTCAAGGATAGAACAAGACTGGGAACAAAATAGTCAAGAGAGGGAATACCTATGAAGTAATAGGTTAGATTTCTAAGGATCAGTGGCAGCCTTTTGACAGGTAGATAGGCATTTGCCAGGAAAAGGAGAAGAGGACACTTCAGGAAGAGGGCACGTCAAGTAACCCAATTCTGGATGCAGCAAAGGGCATTTAAAATAGTGAGAAATAGATTGGGAAGCTTGGAAGTACACTTGGCAGTTCTTCTGAGTGTAAATGTGAGAAATCTGTACCCAGAAATCATTTCCTAAGACACCTCGTACACACACAAAAAGAGCTACAAAATAGATTTCTTTTGTGTTTTACTGAATCCTCACCCAGAAATCAATGCCATGTTCTGGATTACTTGAACTATCCCAAATGATATTAAGACCCACCCCAGATTACCCTCACTTTCAAAAAGGAACATGAAGGATGAATAATTAGATGTAAGGCAAGTAGCAATGAGATTTGTGTTAGAGTCACACTTTAGGGTACAAATGCATCATGTAGATCAGCAATTTTCAACTGTTGTGCTACAACACACTGGTGTGCTGCAAAAAGTTTTATAACATGCAATACCTGACTGTTTAGTCTGGGGCACTGACCTCTTTTCCCTTAGATTTTCAAATTTAAAAAAATAACAACAGACAACACAACAATAACCATCCACTGTGAGTAAATAAAAATTACATCTATTTTTTTTGTCAGAATGGCTAAAAGAATTCCCCTTGTTAACTATATTTTTTGTTGTGCTGCAGAAATTTAGTAATTAGTTTATGTGTGTCATGAGATGAAAAAGGTTGAAAATCTCTGATATACAGAGAAAAGTGGGGTGGTGGGGTGGGAGGAGATTAACCAAAGAATTTATATGCATATATGCATAGCCCATAGACACAGACAATAGTGTGGTGAAGGCCTAGGGTGGGGGGAGGGCACTGTGGAGGGGGACAAAGGAAGGGGGAGATGGGTGACATGTATAATAATACCAACAA